ACCCTGCTTGTTTCCTCTCTGAGCAGTGTGAAAGCCATATTTTGTGTTCCACATAATGCTCTGGAGTCTGACTGCCAGAGGCGATGTGGGAAGAACTCAGCCGAGACTGTTTTTCCTGGAGTATCTGATCTCCCATCTCTTCACCAAGGTTTTCTAAATGTCCCTGGCAGGGTTTCCTACCCTCTATGTAGGAGGTGATGCCATAACCCCTGGGGAACATCCCAGGCTCTGGATCCATTCTCTGGCTCAACGTGGAACTCCCACCTCCATCAGAGTCCATCCTGGTTGCTAACCAGCCGCCCTATTCACCACGCACCCCTTCCCCGCGGACAGGAAACAATAAGGATACCCAACCCACTCCCAGCTAGCCTCTTTCCTGAGGCAGAGTGCCCAAATTGTGGTGATTCGCCACCAATACCACTTGCAGGAGTAACCTGGCACAGATGAGCAATAACTTTTTCTTCTCTTACTGTTTCTGGACTTTTGGGGGGGGGGTGGGGGTGGTTGTCTTTTTCCTTGTTTCCTGCCAGGTTTACTTGTTTGCTTGTTCTTTGTGGCAAGGAGGCGCCAGTTTAACCACCATGTTTGTCTCACTTAGTATTTGAAAAGGTAGATGCTCTGATCCAGCCATTCTCTCCAGGTCTTAGCAATGCATTTAGGTCTCTAGCTTACTCTTTAGCTTACTCCTGAGATGCTGGGCCACAACACAAACCCTGAGCCCTGCTCTCCTGCAGTTTCAGTAAACCACGTCCAGTGTCTTAATCAAAGCTGCTCCCCTCCTGTGTAAAAGCATGTTTATAAAGGACAATTTCAATACTTCAAACCCAAGAATTTATACCAAACCGCATACCCTCTAACCTTCTTATGACAGTTAACACACTCTGGCTTGGACAGAGGGAAACTTGAGAGCACACATGAAGGAACCTGTGTGCCTTTTCAAGCTCTCCTAATGTATCTGAAAAGCAGCATCAGTTACAGGGTGCTTTCCATTCACTGGTAACGGAACGAATCAGACCTATCTCCAAATTCCTTACCTGATCATGTGCCAAAAATAAATGCAATTCTGGCACAAAGTACTTTAAAAGTGAAGAAAGCAAAGTTGTGTGGCGTACAGAAGACATCTAAAGATTTTAAATCTTGAAGTGCAAAAATCTATTCTTTTCCTTTTTGGCTACACAGTGTAGCATGTGGGATCTTAGTTCCCCAACCAGGGATCAAACCCAAGCCCCCGGTGGTGGAAGCATGGAATCTTAACTGGACTGCCAGAGAAGTCCCTTGAAACATAAAATCCTCTAAAAATTTTTACAGGCACCATAAACCAATGCTCCTCAGCAATTTGCAGAAATCAGATTCACATGGTGTTGTGGCCAATATTTATTTAGAGCCAATTTCTGTATGTCACCACCCTGCAACTGTCTCACCCGCCAGAGTCCAGAATCCCACTCGGGCTTCAATACCTGCAAGACACCTATGGCATTCATTCAGCAGTGAATATGAGGGCCACTGTCTGCATGATGCTGTGCTGGGGACAGTGGTGTGGAGAGAGCAATAAATAACACAACACCTGCCCACCAGGAGTTACTGGGGTGAGTGGAAGAACGCTGACAAAGCAGATAGACATTCTTCAAAGTAATGACACATGGCGTGCTGCAGTGATAAATTCTGAATTTCTAGAGAACAGTCATCTGAAGGTTGTGACCAACACGGTGCCCAGCCTGTGATGAGCCATGTAACAGCCTCTGATCGGAGTTCCCACAACAGGGGAACAGAGTCTAAAGGTCAGACCCAAACAAGACAGTTGGCTGCCAGCTGAGGCTCCTACAACTGACTAGAGATCACCCCCACCTTCTCTACTGCCCTTTGAACATGTTCTATTAGACTTCCTTCAAGGGGCCTGTTAGGGAAACTAAAATAGAGAAAGTCTTGTTCAGGCTTCAGAAGCAGGAGAGCAGACCTCTAACCTGCCTGGATTGTGCCTCTGTGACAGAGCACAGCAAGCGCAGATCATAGCAGCCGTTGCTGTGCATCATTATTCTGCACCCTGTTAACAAGCAATGGGCCCTGCTCAGCTACTGGTCAGTGCCAAAGTGGGCCCCACCCACAAGCAACAATTGTCAACGAACAACTATTAGCAGTCCTGCTCAGTTATTGGTCAGCACCACAGTGGGCCCCGCCCACAAGTAACAAACTGCCAATGAGCGACCATTAGGGGAGTGATTCAGCAAGTAGATGCCATGATGGTCATCAGGTGGAAAGTGAGGTAAGAGTCGGATCCCAGCATGCTCCCTGAGGACCTCAAGCCTGTTTCCTGGCCTTGGGCAAGCAGGTGAGCTGGAGGTCCAGGGACCAGGCAGGGACTGTGTCCTGCAGGGCTCCAGAGCCCTCGCCAAGGCCACCCACTAGTCTTGGCCCAGGCCTTGAGAGCAGTGAACCTCTCCCCCATCCCTATATCTGTGACCTAATAGCAGAGGCCGTCTTCCTGGGTTGCAGTCTGTGAAACCTGGTCAACACCTTTAGGTGGCCTGAAGAGACTGAGGGCCAGTTGGGTTGGGTGCCTGGCTCCCTCAGCGATGACAGCTGGGCAGGGTGTGGGGACCTGGCCCTGAGGGAGCTGCCAGCTGAGCTCTGCCTCCTCTTAGCCAGGATGCGGACACTGGAGGGTGACAGCTGTGCCTTGGGATCTTGCCCTTTCTTGTCGGGACAGACAGTAACATTCGTTTGGTAAAGATTTACAGGAATATCATTACTTGACCATCACTGGACCTCAAGAACAAAGGATCTGACACCAAGAAATCTTCAACAGCTAACCACACCCCTCCCTTCCCTTTTGCTTCCCTTTTGCTAAGTTTTCAGTAACTCTGGGGTCCTTAGGGCATTAGCCACCCATCTCCTTGCATGAACCTGTAATAAACCTTTCTCTGTTCCAAACAATGTTTTAGTATTCTTTGATCTCACTGCGCATTGGGCACACAGACTTGGGGTTTTGGTAACACCTGGATTCTGTGCCTGCTGGCACGTGAAGCAAGTCAGGCAGCACTTTAGATAAGGGAGTAGGTCTTGAATTTTTGAGTCCCTGAGGATCTGGTCAACCACCACCCAGTCACCCACCCCGCCCCCCCAATCTAACAAAATCCTATTATTCACAATGTGAAAAGAACAGCATTGTAAAAAGGTTAAAGTTAACCAGAGCGCATTTTTGCGCACAAACTGATGAAATCACTCTGCAGCCCGGGATCACATGTGACAGCCCTGGAACTGTCTCACCCATGGAGCGGACACACTGCCCAAGACCCTCTCCCACCTGGGACTCCAGATTGCTGTAACAAGGAATTTCCCACAACTGTTAAGTCTCCTTGTAGGTCAGCCCAATCTAGTGATGAGTATGCTGTTACTTCTATTGTTTCTATTTATTTTTTTTAATGACTGTACATTGAAATTAATTAAAAAATCTATTAAAAATTGAAATTATTTATGTGTGGAATGAGTGGTTTGTTTTGCTAACAAACCCTTCAAACCTAGGCTCAAAATTAATCCTTCACAATTAGGACTACTGGCAAAAGAAGGCCCATGTATGAATTCTGTGGACTGTATAGTCCACAGGGTCACAGAGTCAGACACAATTGAGTGACTCTCACTTTCACATGAGTTCCTCATTCATAACTTTTGAGAACCTCTTCATCTTCCCACTAGTTCTCTGAGGGAACTCCATCAGTTCCCTGGCTCCATCAAATTGGCTCCATCAAATCCTTGATAGGAACTATCCCCGATTTGCTTATATTCTTTAGGTTCCTTTAGGTGTTGTTTTTAGTCACTAAGTCACGTCCAACACTTTTGAGACCCCCATGGTCTAACACACCAGGCTCCTCTGTCCATGGGATTCTCCAGCAAGGATTCTGGAGTAGGCAGCCATTCCCTTCTCCAGGGGATCTTCCCAACCCAGGGATCGAACCCACACCTCCTGCATTGGCAGGCAGACTCTTTACCACTGGGTGACTAAGGAAGCTGAAGTCTGCTTGTAAAACAGCTTAGGAAGAAGTTCATCCATTGCCTCTTGTGCAGTCAGTCTTCTCAGTTTTCACCTTTCAAACACTGGACACTGGTCATTTAACTCAGGCGCCAAAGCCATACAGATGGCCCCGGTCAGGATACACACTGCACACCGCCAAAAGTTCCTGTCACCTCCCTGCTCCTCCTCACGTGGGAGTAACAGCAATGGAGATTCTCTTCTATGCAGAGCTGATTCTATGGAGCAGATTCTTGGGAAATCTTTACAATAATTAACCAAGGGCCCGCTTCCTGGAAGGACAGGTCCTCCTTGAAATACCTGCTCAGCCCAGTCTCAAGTACCCAGGTAGGGTAAGAAAGTCTCCTGTCTCTAGAAAAGAAAGTCTCATGCAACCTGGGCTACCCACCTGAAGTGCTGCCTGTTCTGTGCCCAGGCTCATGGTCCCAGGAAAAAAACAAGTCAAGACTGGCTGCTTCTGGGCATATGACGGGAAAGCACTGTAATGGGGAAGCCCCACCTAGTGCCCAGGGCTGGAACTGCTACTTGACCAGACCAACACACATCTGCCCAGACACAACTCCTGGGTCCTAAAGGGCACGTAGTACCTTCCCTGGTGGTTTCACTGGTAAAGAATCGACCTGCAATGCAGCAGACGTGGGTTCAATCTCTGGGTCAGGAAGATCCCCTGGAGGAGGATATGGCAACTCACTCCAGTATTCTTGCCTGGGAAATTCCATGGACAGAGGAGCCTGGCAGGCAGAGAGTTGGACATGACTAAGCAACTAAACCACTACCACGAAAAGGCATTATAGAACCAAATGATTCAGTTCCCATTTCAGGTAAACTGTAATTTATTCTGGCAAAGAAGCATGTTTTTGTCACCTGAGATTTATGGAGATATTCTCAAAAATATTTTATAGCTAAATATCTCATAACCTGGTTAATTACATCTTCTGGCTATTGACACAGATGTTTAAAAAGGAACACAGCTGTCATGGTGGGCTTGCTAAAGATCACTGGCCTTGTGGAACTGGCTGTATGTGACAGTCTACATGAGAGGCTAAAAATACTATACACAGATTCTTGATGTTCTTACACAAATCCCTAAAAATTAAGCATATATACAGGGCTTCCCTGGTGACTCAGTGGTGAAGAGTCACCTGCCAATGTAGTGGACACGGGTTCAATTCCTCGTCTTGGAAGATCCCACATGACAACTTAGCCCATGCACCATAATTACTGAGCCTGTGCTCTAGAACCTGGGAGCCACAACTACTTAAACCCAAGAGCCCTACAGCCTGTGCTCTGCAATAAAAGAAGCCACTGCAATAGCCCCTGCTCTCTGCAACTAGAGAAGAAAAGCCCATGCAAAAATGAGGACATGGCACAGCCAAAAAAATTATTATTTTTTTTTAATTTAGAAAAGCATACAGAACAGATTACAAGTGAGAAGTTGAGTATGGTTAAAGCCAAACCAGATGTTAAGACACCAGAAGAGCAACTTCAGGGAGGCCAAATAGAAGAGGTGATTCTTCAGGCTGAAAATAAACTAAGTCTGGGAAGAAAAATGGTTCAGTGGAAACCACGGGAGTCTTTAGCAGAAGAGCCTCCTGCCAACCAATGGAAATGGCTAACATAAATAACATTAAATGACTTGTGTGTTGATGGGAAACTGATGTAAATAAATATTGTTATATCAGGAAAATAGCAACACATACCCAATTTAAAGGGAAAAATGCCAAAAGCCTGTAAATGTTTTCAAAGAAAATTATTAAAACCCAAAAAGACCTACAAAAACAAATGTAAAACAATTAATAAAATGGAAATAAAAATATACATGTCAATAATAATCCAGAATGTAAAGGAATTAAATGCTCCAACCAAAAGAAACAGACTGAATGGATACAGAAACAAGACCCGTATATATGCTATCTGAAGGACACCCACTTCAGACTTAGGGACACATAAAGGCGGAAAATGAGTAGACAGAAAAAGATACTCCATGAAAATGGAAATCAAGAGAGAGAATTTGTATCAGACAAAGTAGAATTTAAAATAAAGACTGCTACAAGAGACAAAGGAGGACACTACACAATGATCAAGGGATCAGTCTAAGACAATGATAAATGACTGCATTAATGGTTGCACTATACAGATGCAACCAACACAGTAGCACCTCAATATATAAGGCAAACACTAACAGCCATGACAGAAGAAATCAATAGGAACAGAAATAGCGGGAAACTTTAACACCCTACTTACATCAATGGACAGATCATCCAGATAGAAAATCAGTAAGGAAACACATGCCTTAAATGACATAGTAGGTGAGAGGGACTTAACTGAAAATTCCACCCAAAAGCAGAATACACATTCTTATCAAGTGCACTCAGAACACCCTCCACGACTGATCACATGCTGCGTCACAAAGCAAGCCTCAATAAATTCAAGAAAATTGAATATCAAGCATATTTTCTGACCACAACGCCATGAGGCCAGAACTCAACTACCAGAGAAACCCCACAAACAACACAAACAAGTGGAGACCAAACAATATGCTACTAAACAACCAATGGATCACTGAAGAAATCAAACGAAATAAAAAATATCTAGAAACAAATGAAAACAAAACCACAATAATCCAAAATCTATGGGATGCAAGAAAAGCATTTCTAACAGGGAAGTATATAGTGACACAAGCTTACCTCAGCAAACAAGAAAAATCTCAAATAAACAACCTAAACTTACACCTAAAGCAATAAGAGAAAATACAAAAAACAAAAACAGACAAAAAATTTATATAAATTTTTTAAAAAATAGAAAAGATAAAAAAAAAACTAAAAGCTGGTTCTTTGAAAAGATAAACAAAATTAATGAACCTTTAGCTTGACTCATAAAGAAAACGAGGTAAGAGGCCCCCATCAAAAAAATCAAAAGTGAAAAAGGAGAAAACTACAACTGACACCAGAGAAATACAAAGAATCATGTGAAACTATTACAAACAACTATATGCCAACAAAATGGACAACCTGGAAGAAATGGACAAATTCTTAGAAAATTACAAAGAATCATGTGAAACTATTACAAACAACTATATGCCAACAAAATGGACAACCTGGAAGAAATGGACAAATTCTTAGAAAAACACAACCTTTCAAGACAGAACTACAAAGATAAAGAAAATATAGACAGATCAAGCACAAGTAATCAAATTGAATCTGTGATTTAAAAACTTCCAACAAACCAAAGTCCAGGACCAAATGGCTTCACAGGTAGAGTCTATCTAACATTTACAGAAGAAATAATACTTATCCTTCTGAAACTCTTCCCAAAAATTGCAGAGAAAGGAACACTCCAAAACTCTTACGAGGCTAGCAACACCCTGATCCCAAAACCAGACAGAGATATCACAAAAAATAGAAAATTAAAGGCCAATTATCACTGATGACCAGAGAAGCAAAAATCCTCAGCAAAATAGTAGTAAACCGAATCCAACAGTACAGTAAAAGGATCCCACACCATGCATGATCAAGTGGGATTCATAGGGATGCAGGATTTTTCAATATCCACAAGTTAGTCAATGTGATGCACCATATTAAGAGACTGCAGGAAAAAACTTATGATTATCACAAAATGCAGAAAAGCGTCTGATAAAATCTAACATTTCTGATAACTCTGCAGAAAGTGGGCATAGAGGGAACCTACCTCAACATAATAAAGGCCATACATAACAAGCCCAGCGCCAACATCATACTCAAGGGTGAAAAGCTGAAAGCATTGCCTCCAAGATCAGCTACAAGACAAAGATGCCCTCTCTCACCACTTTTATTCAACAGAGTTTTGGAAGTTCTTGTCACAGTAGTCAGAGAAAAAAAAAGAAATAATAAGGGTTTCCCTGGTGGCTCAGATGGTAAAGCATCTGCCTGCAATGCAGGAGACCTCAGTTCGACCCCTGGGTCAGGAAGATCCCCTGGAGAAGGAAATCACTACCTACTCCAGTATTCTTGCCTGGAAAATTCCATGGATGGAGGCGCCTGATGGGCTATACAGTCCATGGGGTCGCAAAGAGTAGGACATGACTGAGCGACTGCACTTCTACTTCCAAACTGGAAAAGAAGTAAAACTGTCACTGTTTGTAGATGTGATACTATATGCAGAAAATTCTAAAGGCGCTACCATAAAACTACTAGGGCTCATCAATGAATTCGGTAAATTTGAAGGATACAAAATTAACATACAAAAATCTCTTGCATCTCTATAAACTATCAGTGAAGTATCAGACAGAAATTAAGGAAACAACCCCATTTACCACTGCAGAAAAAAAAATATAGATTGAAATAAACCTACCTAAGGAGGCAGAAGGCCCATACTCCAAGAACTATAAGATGCTGATGAAAGAAACTAAAAACCACACACACAAATGAAAAGATATGCCGTATTCTTGGACTGGAAGATTCTATGATGTCAAAATGACTATACTACCCAAAGCAGTCTGTTGATTCAATGCAATCCCTAACAAAAATACCAATGGCATTTTTCACAGAACTTGAACAAGTAGCAGCCAAAACAATCTTGAGAAAGAAGAATGGAGCTAGAGGAACCATACTCCCTGGCTTCAGACTATACTAAAAGCTACAGTTATTATTAGTATGGTACTGACACAAAAGCAGACATAAAGTTCAATGGGTCAATTAATTTATGACACAGGAGGCAAAAACATACAAGAGAAGAAAAGACAGTCTCTTCAATAAGTGGTCCCAGGAAAACTGGATAGCTACATGTTAAAGAATGAAACTACAATATTCTCTAACACTATATACAAAATAAACTCAAAATGGATTAAAGATCAGATACTATGAAACTCCTAGATAAAACATAAGCAGAACACTCTTTGACATAAATTGCAGCAACATTTTTTTAGAATTACTTCTAGATTCTAACAGAAGCAAAGCAAAAACAAACAAAAAAGACCTAATTGAACTAAAAAGCTTTTGCACTGGAATGGAAACCACAAGCAAAACAAAAGACAACATACAAACTGGGAGAAAATATTTGTAAAGAAGGCAACCAACAAGGCTTAAAACAAAAGACAACATACAAACTGGGAGAAAATATTTGTAAAGAAGGCAACCAACAAGGCTTAATCTCCCAAATATACAAACAGCTTGTACAACTCAATATAAACAAACAAACAAACAAACCCAATCAAATAATGGGCAGAAGTTCTAAATAGACATTTCTCCAAAGAAGACACACAGATGGCCAACAGGCATATAAAAAGACTCTCATATCATTAATTATTAGAGAAATGCAAATGAAAACTATCATGAAGTATCACCTCACACAAGTCAAAATGACTATTATCAAGAAGTCTAAGTTATCAACAATAAATGCTGGAGAAGTTGCGGAGAAAAAGGAACCCTTCTACACTCTTGACAGGAATGTAAATTGGTTCAGCCACTATGGAGAAAAGTATGGACACTCCTCCAAAAACCAAAAATAGAACTACCATATGATTCAGCAATCTTACTTCTTGGGCACATATCCAGAAAAGATGAAAATTCTTAACTCAGAAGGATACAAACACCCCAGTGTTCATAGCAGCACTATTTACAACAGCCAAGATGTGGAAGCAACCTAAATGTCCATCCAGAGAGGAATGGATAAAGATGTGGTACATATATACAATGGAAAATTACTCAGTCCTTCACTGGAAGGACTGATGCTGAAGCTGTAGCTTCAATACTTTGGCCACTTGATACAAAGAGTTGACTCACTGGAAAAGACCCTGATGCTGCGAAAGACTGAAGCAGGAGAAGAAGGGGACAACAGTGGATGTGATGGTTGGATGGCATCACCAACTCAACAGACTTGAGTGTGAGCAAGCTCCAGGAGATGCTGAAGGACAGGGAAGCCTAGAGTGCTGCAGTCCATGGGGTTGCAAAGACTCAGACACAACTGAGCGACTGAACAACAAATTACTCGGCCACAGAAAAGAATGAAATAATGCCATTTGAAGCAACATGGATGAACCTAGAGATGATCACACTAAGTGAAGCAAGTCAGACAGAGTAAGACAAATACCATATATCACTTGTATGTGGAGTCATAAAAATTATACAAATGAACTTATTTACAAAACAGAAATAGACTTGCAGACACAGAAAAGAAACTTATGGTTACCAGAGCAGAAAGGCTGGGAGAGATAAATTACTCTAAATAAAACAGATTACCAACAAGGTCCTACTGTATAGCACAGGAATGACAGTCAATATTTGTAATAACCTATGATGGAAAAGAATCTGAAAAAATACACACACATACACACATATATATATATACACACACATACAACTAAAAGGAAGTGGCAACTCACTATAGTATCCTTGTCTGGAAAATTCCATGAACAGCGGAGCCTGGTGGGCTACAGTCTGGGCGTCGCAAAGAGACAGAAACAACTCAGTGACTCAACAACATACATAACTGAATCACTCTGCTATACACTTGAAACACTGTATATTGACTACACTTGAATTTTAAGAAGTTAACTAAAAATGTCTTTGAAAAAGAGTTTTTTGATTAATAAATGTTTTTCGATCCAAGAAAGGGTCTACAACAGATCTTATAAAGACTCAAAAGCATTTATCACACTGACACATTTTTAAGTATTTCCACTGTGTGTTAATGAACCAGCCAATTATGAATAAATCTATTAGAATGGACTAATACCCTGAAAAAGAAACATTTCACTTCTTAATAATAAAAGAAAGTTGCTATGATTATTCAAGATTATGTTTTAATATAAAAAACATAACAGAAGTCTGCAAAATTTTTAAAGTAACTTGTATTTTTATTTATTTTCCAGTACTCTTGCAACCTTTTATATTACTAACAAAATTGCAATCACAGGAACCAGACACAAAAGTTCTGCATTTATTTCAAACAATCATATAGAAAGACCACACTACACAGACATTATTACACTGCAAAACTCAGAGATGACTGAAGTTTAGATAGATAACTTTATTTAGCTGAAGAATGAAAAGATTTTCCACTCTTTGCAATTATAGCTGAAATGTTTTTTACAGCAGATGACATTCAAGTTGGAGATACAAATGATACACTCTGAGGTAAGTAATATAAAACTCAAGTCTAGGAAGTAAATAGATTTTCAGTTGCACAGGTTGTTCTTCCAGTTTAAATTTTTTCACAGAAAAAAAAAACAAATTTCAGGCAAAGAAAACCAAATTCCAGATAAGCATGGTTCACTGTTTTTTATTTTACCTTCATCAAGGCAGGCAAAGTACAGATGCTGTACATTAAACACACATACAGGTCCCTCAAAGCACGTGGATTCCCACAGGCAAAGCATATTTGCTAAGCTCCGCTCCTCTCTGAAGCACGTAACTGCAGCTAAATGTACAAAGAGCCATCCGCTGGTCCCACGTAGCCAACCCCAATGAGCAAGACGTCAATCAGCGTCCATATTCCCAGGCCCCCGAAGCTGAAGAGCTTGCCGAGGCCTTCTCGCCACTGGCCCAGGTAGAAGCGGTCTGCTCCAAACCCACCAAGGGTGATGCTGCAACAGCAAACAGGCCTGAAATGCATCAACAGCCCCCCAACTGCACCAGCTGGGGCTCAGTAACCATGCTGACTCACATGTGTGAAAGGGCCTCAGATCAGCAGACCCTGGATGAGGACACAGCGATCATCTCACAAATGCACACCACCAAACAATCACAGGCAAGAAGACTGCTCACATGTCAACAATGAACACACATAAGCTGTAATGAAATCTAATCCTTCTCTTTTGAAGAAAATCTAGCTTGCTACTTTTTTAAGTAGCAAAAAACTGGTGCATCTGGGAGGGCAAAGCAGGGCTAGTCTAACAGACCAGCAATGTGGAGGCTGCAGGAGCATCTCAAGGCAGCCAGCCAGCTGGCCGCCTCATCAAGTCTGGACCTTTGTCAATCACCCATGTAAAAAAAGCTCTGTGTTAGGAAAATATGAATTTTAAAAGGTTTCTTCAAATTCTGGCATCTAACAATATTCAGACAACTTCTCAATTGTTTTTCTTTTAAAATTTTTATTATGGAAAATTCTAAAACATACACGAGTAAAAAGAAGGCAAACAGCACCTATGTTTATTGTTGTTGTTTAGTCACTCAGTTGTGTCTGACACTTTGCGACCCCAAAGACTGTAGCCCACCAGGCTCCTCTGTCCATGGGATTCTCCAGGCAAGAACACTGGAGTGGGTTGCCATTTCCTTCTCCAGGGGATCTTCCCAACCCAGGGATCAAGCCTGTATCTCCTGCATTGGCAGGTGATTTCTTTACCGCTGAGTCACCTGGGAAGTCCACAACCCAGCCCCAATAATTATCACCATGTGCCCACCCTGGTTTATCATACCCTTTCCTTCCCACCCCAACCCGAGAACCATGAAGCAACTGCCAGGCATCATCACATTCAATATTCTGCAAGAAACCATGTTGAGCCCAGAGAAGAACTCTTACTGTTTAAAAGCCAGCTGTGAAACGTGTCATAGTAATTTAAGATGTTCACAATGAGGGGAAGACTGGGTGAGCGGTGTACAGAACTCTCTAGCTTTGCTTTTACTTTTCTGTAAATCTAAAATGAATCCAAAATAAAAAGTTTGTTGGGAAGCAGAAAGTCAGGTGTTATTTTCAACGTGAACTGCTGTGTCAAAGACGCTGGGCAATCTCACCTTCACTGTGTCTGACTTTCTGTCGTGGCCCCATCTTTTCACTTTCCAGGGAGATTTCCTGCCAGACAGGACCCTCCACCTTCCTAGCCAGACCCTCAAGCAGTGGTCCCCAGACAGAGGCAATACCTGGAGGCGCTAATGACTGTCACCACTGGGGTAGGAAGACTTGTAAACAACACCCAATAAATGGAGTCCAGAGAGGATGCTACACACCCTACTCTCACAGGACGCCCCACAGCCAAAAATTCTTGGCCCAAACAACCACAATGACAAGGCCGAGAAGCCCTGCCCACACCCCACCATACAGTCCCTGAGCTCTCACCCTAAACCTCCAACAGCAGCTGCACAACTTCTGAATCAGGGACCATTTAGCCAGCAGCCCACCTGCCCTTCCCTCTGGTGAGGGTGGGGAGAACTGCTACAATTTTCTTTTCAAACTGCTGAAAAATTTAACAAATACAAGTATATTTTTATGTAAAAATTAAGTCTATAATTATACCTGAATAGTGGAATTACAGGTGATTCTCAACATTTATCTTTGTCATTTTTGTTTTTTCTAGTTTTCAATACTAAACATGTAGTATTTTTTTATGATTTAGAAGGAAATTACTGAAAATTAAAGACAGTCATAAGCCTAGTTACTTTAAATAGTAGGCAGCACGTCACTGACTCACAGTACGCTCATAATAGGAAGACTGACTGGTTCTAATGAGCTCCATTAAAGACTCAAGTCACCCCCAGAACGTGCAGGCACCTTGGGAGGAAAGCCAGCAATAGGCCACCAAGCTCCACAAAGACAGCGGTCTGACCACCTCAACGGCCCCCGGCAGCACAGTCCCTGTGGTTTACCCAACACGTGGCAGGGCCTGAGAGAGTATGAGAGGAGCACAGAAGAGCCCAGAAGCCACAGCAAATGCCCAGTGGTGTCTCCGATAGCTGGGAACAGTGCTTACCTCAGAGCCAGGGCTGTGGACCACTTGTATCCTCCAGTCCAGTTGCAGTAGAGCATCTTCAGAAAAGTGCGGTTACCTAAGAAAGGGAAATACTCCACAATGAAACAAGGGTATAAAAATACTCTGGCACAGAGACTAAATCACAGCTGGTGGTCTTATGATTTATAATCTAAAAAGACAACTTTCTTCACAAAAATAAATGTTCACTACCTTGAATGCTAAATAGAAAGCCCTAACTGTCCACGAGCACAGGCTTGTGAGGAGCACAGGTTCGTGAAGACAACAGGTTCATGAGGACCACAGCTTGAAGAAGGTGAACCACCCCACCTGCTGTCAAGATGTGGATGATGTGGGGGTGAACAAGACAGACAAACCACACACCGGGAGGGGAGAAGGCCACGCAGGACCGACACACCCCATGGACGCAGGCCACAGATGGCCCGGGGGTCCTGGGACATCTGACTGTTCAAACTGGAAAAAGTGAGTCTGACTCCACCTCACACCATACACCAAACCAATCCTGGGGAACTAAAGACCTATATGTGAAAGGCCAAGGTTACAACTTTTAAAAGAAAGTACAGGAAATTATCTCTGTGAATCTGGAGCAGGGAAAAGCTTTTTGCAACAAAAAAGGGCTAACTATGAAAGATGAAAAACCAACTAACTAAAATTTTAAAGTTGTGTTCAAAAGAGACCAAAAGAAAGTGGGGGAAAAAGTTAAAATCCAAAAGAGGATTTTAGGGCCATCAAAGGTTACTATCCAAAATACAAAAGAATTCATAGAAGTCTGTAAGAAAAAACAAAACTTAGGGAGGAGTACTGGAGAGGATGTGGATCCTCACTAACAGCTGTGCACCACTGGTGGGAGTGTGAACAAACACAACCACCTGGAAAAGAACACATGCCAGAGGGCGCATACCAGACACACCCCCTTACACGTGTGACAAGAGACACAGACAAAAGCTTTAAGAGCACCACAATTTGTAAAAAAAGAAACAGAAAAAAAAAGGTAAATAGTCCAAATACATTGGAGAGCAGATAAACTATGATACAATCTTACAACATGTTATTATAAAGAAGAGAAAAAAGAAAAGGACAAGCTGAAGAATCTTAGAGTCATAATGATGAAAAGAAACAAGTCCCAGGAGACCATAAACAGCCTGCTACTACTTCACACAGTTCTGAGACATGCATTACTGAATAATATACTACACTGTATTCTAGCACATACATGGGACAACTGTAAAAAACTTAAAGGAAGGGATTGGGATCGTAAGAAACCTCAAAAGGGTGTCACCCCTAAAGAAGAGGCAGCAAACACTCTGGTAGTTTCGATGGCATCACATGCTTTGGCTGTTAACCTGGGGGAGACTCAATCACACATTATGCTTTACACCTTATACATTTTTATTTTATGAAGTACTACATTTTAAAAGATAAGAGAACTGGCATAACTAAAAGGTGCTGATAAACATTTCTGACTACACAATTGAAACCTAATTCTCAAACTTCTGTGATGGTTCTGCAAGTACGCCTAAAGAAGAGCACTCTGCCCAGAAGCCTCCCTCAGTCAACCTACCCAGGCAGTGGATGTGGTCCCGCACAGTGCAGTTGGCTGCATAGCGCTGCCGAGGGCAGGACACCGCCCTGCAGTTGCTGGAGCTGAAGCACTCATAGTCAGCCTCCGGGAGCTGCCAGCAGAACCTACAGGTCATGTTGAGGACAAAACTCTTCTGGGATTTGAAGTCTGGATCCTACAAAGGACACAGAGCTATTCAGTCATAATCCAGTTTATCAATATGTCAATAAATCTACATAGTTATAAGGCACAAGTATCAAAAACTCTTCTATTTATGATCTAGGAGGAAGCAGCAGACAAACAGGTACCAAGCCAATATGTATGCAAAACAAATGCGTATGCCATGATTTAGGATCATAAGTATATACCCCAAAATATATACCTAAGAAAAAATACCTAGATAAATGCACATCAAAATATCAAAGGTTATCAGGATAAAATTCATCACTGTTACTTTGGCTAAATTTTTAGTAACACACATGTGTACTTATATAACAAAGAAGAAAGGAAAAGGCACTTTATGAAGCCCCAGAGACACAAGAGAGCTGACAGGGCAGATGAGCCCCTCTGCTCAAAGTACTGTGCAGTACATGGCAGCCCGGACCCAGCTGGACGCTCCTGGAGGAACAGCCTACCTACCGGGTCTCAACTCTTCCTAGGAGTCCCTGAGGTCCTGGGGCCAGGGCAGTTACTGCTGTTACACTCCCAGGAGCACCCGAGAGGACCCACACACAGGCAGCCCCAGAAGACCATCCCCAACTTAGAAAGAACCCCTTGGCGAGGTTCAGCCAGTGCTACTGTGGCCCTGAGCCTCGAAACAAGTTTTCCATTTCAATTTTAAATTTGTTTTCTGCCTGTAAGAGCACCCCATGTGCTTATATGTTGCACATTTGGAAATTACAGGAAAACCGGTAACCTCTCCAGAGAGAAGCACGTCTAACCTTCTTTCATTTTTGCTTCCTGTGATACTTTTACATACATGGAATTAAACTGAAAACATTTTGTATTCTTTCACCACTACTTAATATTATGCTATAAAACATACTTTTCAAAACTGTATTTATATGGTAACACAATCACCTCTGGAAGTATCATATTTACTAATTGTTTTTTTTTTTTATTAATGCAAAACCACTTATAAGGGCAGTATTCACGAGCAAGGCACTCCTTGATTTAAGCAATATTATTGTAAATGTCTGCACATTTCTAGTGATGCATCTATAACACGTTTCTTATCAACTGTTTTTTTTTAACACTGGGCAGTCAGTGTACATGGTACAAACTCTGGGAGACAAGAGGAGAGTAAAGAGGTGGCTGGCCTGGCCCAGCCCTCAGCACTGAGCACAGCTGATCCATGCTGGTCTTCCAGGGAGTCTATTCTATGCATGCGTATGCTTACGTCAGGTACGCTTCTTCTTTTTATAATTTAATGTTCCCACTGATAATTACTTTTCACTTAATTCTGTAGGTATCAGGAAACATCTCTGGAGTTGCCTAGTTCTTCTCAACAGCTGCAATGTATTTATTTCACTACATAGTGAGCTGCAAAGTGAACTGCTCTTTCTTGGACATTCAGCTTGCTTCCAACCTTGCTGGGTGAACGATGCAACTAAGAATATTCTTAGGCATACTTTTGTGTATCAGTGTGCAATAAGTAACACTTGTTAGATGAATTCCTAGATATGGAACTGCCAGGTCAAAGTTTACATGCACCTGTACGTTTCAGAAAGGAAGAAAGTGAGGTCACTCAGTCGTGTCCAACTCTTTGAGACCCCATGGACTATAGCCTACCAGCCTTCTCCGTCTATGGAATTTTCCAGGCAAGAGTACTGGAGGGGGTTGTCATTTCTTTCTCCAGGGGATCTTCCTGACCCAGGGATAGAACCCAGGTCTCCTACATTGCAGGCAGACGCTTTACCTTCTGATCACCAGGGAAGCCCGCAGGTTTCAGAGATGAGACAAACTGTCTACCACAGGCTGACTAACCCACCCATCTACTGACAAGACACAGCAATGTTTGTCTCTAACACCTTCAAGAAAAGTGTTATCAAACGCTTTGACTGTTTTGCCAATATGACAGGTTAAAAAAATGCATTAATTTGTATTAAACTATGAGAAAATTAAGCATCTTTCAAATACAAGTTGAAAGTCCACTTGTATTTCCTTTGCTATGAACCATGTGCTCATGCTCTAGCACCATTTTCTACAGGACTGTCATCTTTTTCTCATTGGCTTTTTGGATGTCTTGATTATGAGTACTAGTATATTATTTGTCACATGTGTTAAAACTTTTTCATCGTTTGTCATTTATCTCTGGCCTTTATGCTTTTTAAGCTCATGCAGAAACCTCTCATCTTTAGTAGTCAAATGTATAAATTCTTTCTTGTATAACTTCTAAACTTTATTTCATACTTAGAAAATTATTCCCCACTTTGAGATGATAACAAAACTCTCACACTTTCTCTGGTACTTTGAGATTTCATCTTCTCACATAAAGTCTTGCATCTATCTGGAATTTACTTTGGACAAAATAGGGATTCCACTTTTTTTCCATGGGCACCTGGGCACCCTAGCATTCACTAAGTCCACTTTCACACCACAAAAAAGTAGACCCCAACAAGAGCTCACCTGTGGTAAATACCTTTCCCTCTGTGACACAACTGTCATTACTGAGAATCCAGAGCCTACCTAAAGGATTTAAACTTGCCTCACTTACACTAGCAGACTGAGCTCTCCTCCAAGTAACAGACACAAAAACCATTTCTGTCAAGCACATCTCCAGCTGATGTGAACTGGCCTGGCAGTTTCCATTACAGCCAGATTTCTGCACTTACTTCTATTTATATACATTATAAAACAATTTCTTTGACTAGTGTAATCCAGGTGAGATTCCCTTGGCCTGAGTCCCTATAAGTGCACATTAGAACGATGAGAAGAGTTTATTTCCTTCTATTAATCTGAAGTTCAACACAAAGTGAGGGGAGGGAAGGGGGTGAATGCAGCAGGCGAGGATGAGTACTTGCGTGTACACCTGCAATGGTCTTAAACACCAAGGGAAGAACATGGGGCCTGCCCCAAATCACAGCTGCAGCACTCATGGGACCCGCAGCTCCTTTGTTTGACTGTTTTTCGTTTCTGAGAAGAAACAGACCACCAGATGCTCTTGAGATTACTTTCAAAAGCCACCTCTGGGGGCTGGGCACCTGATAATGTACAGGATTTGTGGTGAACGGCTAGTCACGAAGCAGGTGAGATGGAAGCACTTGAGGTGTGAGGGAAAGACTGCTTCCAGGGCGTGTCTCAGCCAAGGGCTAAGGACAGACCCAGGACAGGATCAGCTAGGAAAAGTCACTCCCTAAGTTTTGTCATTTCTCTACCTTTGTCATTTCCCCTGTCCTCTGCTATCTTCTGAAAAATGAAACCACCTGTTTTTTTGGAACACCTAAAGGAGGAAGAAACTGAAAATTAAGTTTCACTCAGAAACCAGCTGTGCAAGATGAATGTCCAAGACACGAAGGCAAACATAGTAGGCTCATTCTGGGAAAAGCGCCCCTCAGCCATCTGGATTTTCTCATTTTCCACAAGGTACCTACTACGTGTGCCAGACTTACTAAGTATGTGATTTCAAAAGCCCTCAAACAGGTTTTGTTATTAGGTGAGTAGGGAGAAAATTCTATTTAAGATGACGCAACAAAGACTAACTGATAATCCAAGGGCAGTCATGAAGACTACCCACCAACTAGCTCAGTTTTCCAGCGCGATTTCAAGAGCAACACTGATACACGAAAATGACAAATACTGAAGTTTACCACTACTACATCCAGATGCTGAGGCCACATAAAATCTCATGCCCCCTGGAGTGAAGCCTCCCTCAGGCCCTCTCCTGACACTGGATTTCAGGAGAAACAGAAAGAGCCTGGGTGGGCGTGGGGGATGGGGGCGGGGGAGGGGAGAAACTTTCTAATCTAGCCCTCTGCAAACCAGGCTCCAAAGGACAGATGGGGAAAGGTATCTTGTTCAAGTGAGAATCCTGGGTCAATGGAAACCCGCTAAAGAGAACATGACCTAGAATCTACGTTTTCTTGACCACCTCCCACAACAAGGGCTCCACAGAAACACTTTCCATCTCCTGATTAAACAGGAGACAGATGAATAAATCTCAGAGCTGGTCCTGGCAAGGCCAAGAGTAGACACTGTTTTGTTATTCATTTCTACTCTCTTGTCTCGCCCAGATGCTGGGACTACAACGAAGTGTGCAGTAATTTACCTGGTCCAACCATTCAAGAATGCACATATGTGAATCTCGCTGACCTGGTCACACTCAGCAGGTGTAGGGCTGCCCCCAGGAACCGAGCTCTGAAGCAGGTGTCCTGAGAGCTGTCAACATATCAGAGACAGGCTGCAGTGTGACAGCTCTAACAAGGTCATTGCTGATGCACAACAGTGGGTGCCCTTGAGCCTGTTCTACGCCCTATTTGTTATAAGCAGTCTGACAGTTCCTTCAGTTTAGTCTGATGTCAGAAAATTGCTATTTGAACCCTTACACCAAACCTTGCTGGGAGACGGAAGTTTCATCTGATAAAGTGGACTTCAATCCTCATATCTTACTTTTAAAATGTAGAGCACTTTCTCAATTTTCCCCATGTTCATGTCTAAACTCTATTTATAACTCAAGCTTTACAGTAAGTTTATTAAGAATTCATAAGTTGCAGTACTTACAACACAGGTAACAGAAGGTTTGACTGTGCAGTCAAAAGTAACAGGCTTCCCATAGACACAGGAGAAATTGGTCTTGCAATCTATACAGTCTGCAGGAAGTCTGCTACACAGGCCATTGCTCGGACACTTCATCATATAAGGTGGGATATCGGTACTTTCTGCAAGGGATGAGAGAAGAGCTTATTCTCTTAGAATACGGATTAGAATAACAAATGAAAGCAATTTTCCAAGGTTAAGGAACACAATTATGAGCATAACATACATATATGGTGCTAGTAATAATCAGGACTGCAAAAAGTTTACCGTGTTACAAGATGAAAAAACAAAGGCTTACAGATGGTAAATTTTGTTCAAGATCACAGAGGGTGGGTAGAACTGCAATCAGAATCTAAATTTCTCCGTTTCCAATCCACTGTGCTTTTCACTTGAATTCACTAATTTTTAAGTGATGCCACTGGCCCTCTAACAGAATCAGTACAAAAGGAACCACCCCCAGAAAATATACTGCCATTGTTACACATTGGTACTTCCACAAGCCACAATCTGCAAGGAATATGCAGTTTTACACTACCAAAGTACAAACAGTTCTTTATATTAGCAATTTATTCAGTGGGTTACAGTTCTTTTTTTTCCAGCCAGACTACCCAGGAGTATAATATATTACTATGAGTTAAGAGATGACCAAAACTGTAAACACTTTTCTTAGGAAGGAAGAAAAGCTCTCAAAACGTCTGAAAGAGTCAAAAATTCTTGTGCTTTCTCTGTAAAATAATCTATGTTTTAAACTCAAGTATGCTGATGTCTTCTAGCAGACTTTAATAGAAGGAATAATATATGGCTACTAATTTCAGTTCACTGAAATAATGGAACTCTACAGGGATGAAACCACACAGAACAAGGTTTCGTTCAGCAAAGCACTCGGACACTCATTTAAAACTGGTCCTACTCAAAGTCACTATTAAGTGGGCAATGAGGCAAAATATCAGAGTACATCATGCAAAATGCCGCGCTGGATGAAGCACAAGCTAGAATCAAGATTGCCGGGAGAAATATCAATAACCTCAGATATGCAGATGACACCACCCCTATGGCAGAAAGCAAAGAGGAACTAAAGAGCCTCTTGTTGAAAGTGAAAGAGGAGAGTGAAAAAGCTGGCTTAAAACTCAACATTCAAAAAACGAAGGTCATGGCATCTGGGTCACTTCACAGCAAACAGATGGGGAAACAATAGAAACAGTAAGACACTTTATTTTTGGGGGGCTCCAAAATCACTACAGATGGTGACTGCAGCCATGAAATTAAAAGACGCTTGCTGCTTGGAAGAAAAGCTATGACCAACCTACACAGCATATTAAAAAGCAGAGACATTACTTTGCCAACAAAGGTCCGTCTAGCCAAAGCTATGGTTTTTCCAGTAGTCATGTATGGATGTGACAGTTGGACTATAAAGAAAGCTGAGCACTGAAGAATTGTTGCTTTTGAACTGTGGTGCTGAATAAGACTCTTGAGAGTCCCTTGGACTGCAAGAAGATCCAACCAGTCAATCCTATAGGAAATCAACGCTTAATATTCATTGGAAGGACTGATGCTGAAGCTGAAACTCCAATACTTTGGCCACCTGATGTGAAGAACTGACTCACTGGAAAAGATCCTGATGCTGGGAAAGATTGAAGCCAGGAGGAGAAGGGGATGACAGAGAAAGAGATGGTTGGATGGTATCACTGACTCGATGGACATGAGTTTGAGCAAGCTCCAGGAGTTGGTGATGGACAGGGAAGCCTGGCATGCTGCAGTCCATGGGATCACAAACAGTTGGACACGACTGAGTGACTAAACTGAACTGATGCAAAAATCACTTTTTACTTTATTGTTTTGTTCCTATTACTACTGAGGCTGGAGGATGGACACTTAGAATCACAAAACCAAAATGTCTCTGAAGCCCGAAAGATTAGTAATTTGCTCCAGCTTCCAGCGGCATCACCAGACTTAAAGCCAAGTCTCAACCAGTCCCTCTGGGATTTCCAGACCCCCCCGCCCCCCGCCCCATTTCACACAGCCCTGGGGGCGCCTTTTAATACCCAACATCAGGATCAGGGTTCAAGAGGCACAAGAAATTTTCTGAAGAGAAAGGAACATTGGTTGAAGGTAATCTTGATGGGTGAGGTGAAAAAATACTACAAATAAAAAGATGGGAATAAGAGCCTGGGACTGGAAAGAGATGAGGCCGGAATGTAGAAAGGTATTGAAATACCGAGACTGTCTACAGAAAAGGTCTGTGCATCTGTCTTTAGTTCACATAACCTAAAATGCAATTAAGAAAATGTTCAAATATGGAAAGTGAAACTCGTTCAGTCGTGTCTGACTCTTCCGCGACCCCACGGACTGTAGCCCGCCGGGCTCCTCTGTCCACGGGATTCTCCGGGCAAGAATACTGGTGTGGGTTGCCATTCCCTTCTCCAGAGAATCTTCTGCATTGCAGGCAGACTCTTTACCATCTGAGCCACCAGCGAAATGATTTCATATTCTGCAGGAAATGCTCGCCAAAAAGAGAGAGACCACTAGATATAAACACACACATTTACGAGCACGGAAAACGCCCGGTACCTGCCGCCCTGGGCGCCGCAGTGAAGGTCCTTGTGGGGCCCGGATCCTTGATGGCCTGCGGCAGCGGCTGCGAGGGCTCCTCGCTGAAGGACCCTGCGACCGGAGAGACGGAGACCTCAGGCGGTGCGGCTGCGCTCCAGGCTTCAGCAGCCTGGGCAAACCTGGCGGCCTGATCGCCCACGAACTGAAGGGGAAACCCAACGAGATCGACACTCGTCCCGGTCTTCGAGCACCTGGGACCAAGCGCGGGGCCGGGACACAGGTCCACGCCCCCGGCAGAGCCCCCGGGCCCTCCCAGTTCCAGGCTCTCGGCTTCGGGTCCCTGAGCGAGCCGAGAGGCGGCGGCAAACCGCACCGGACTCGGCCGCAGCGACCCGCGCCCTCCTCCCGCACTCTGCCTCCGCCTGCGGTCCCGGGGACCCCAGCCCTCAACTCACCGCCGCCCGACAGGATGTAGAACTGCGAGAGGAACAGCACCACACGACACAGTCGGCAAAGAGCCCGCAGCTGGACCACCGGAGCCGCCATCTTGCCGGCGCGCTCACTTCCGGCCGCGCGGGAACGCGCGAGGGGCGGGGCGCCAGCGCGCGCCGAGGGGGCGGGTCCGGACAGAGCCACAGCGCCGGCGCAGGCGCGGCAGCCTTGCCACGGTTCCCAGCGCTCCGCCGGCTAAGGCTGACGGGTACCCGGGCGCCGCCTGCCCCTGGAATAAGAGGTTTAGCTTTCTCCCTTGTGGCTCAGGTAGTAAAGAATCTGCCCACAATGCAGGAGACCTGGGTTCGATCCCTGAGTTAGGAAGATGTCCTGGAGAAGGGAAAGGCTACCCATTCCAGTATTCTGGCCTGGAGAATTACGTGGACTGTATTGTCCGTGGGGTCACAAAGAGTCGAACACGACTGAGCGACTTTTACTTCACTTTCTCCCTCCTGAGGGATTGAGGGCAGAGGTGGACAAGTTTGGGAAGTTGGCCACTGTTTACCTGTGACTGGATCTGTACGTTTAGAGACAAAAACTACTGTGCGCTCGGCGCCGTGCAGAGATCTGACGAATTTACGGTTCGTCCGACTGAAAAGCTGCTTGTGTACAGATGCGGCCCAGACTGCTCGGGAAGGACTCGAGGTGTGCCCGGGGGACCCGAGGCCCCACTCTGCGCCACCCCGGAGCCCGGCCAGCGTCCCGCCCCGAAGTCTAGCCAGTCCCTAGAGACGTTCCTCGAGGACAGAGAGAGGCCGACTGCCCAGTGGCGCGGGTCTCAGGCCCCCAGGTCGTCCGGAGGAGGCCCGGCTCGGGAAGGGAGCTGCTCGCAGGCCGCGGCTCCCTGAGGCCCGCGCAGCGACCCACACGTGTTCCTGCCGCAGCATCCTTCGTCCTGGGCCGCGCATAGGCCTCCCTCTTGGCGCCCGCCCTCCACCAGACCGTCCGGGTGGGTAGTCCTCTCACACCCCTTCCCTCACTAGTACATTTGGTGAATAAAGAAATTTATCGAATAGTTCTTGGCTTCAATAAAAGTTGGCTTTAAAAGTTACATTACACAATCTGCAGCTTCTAGCATCGCACAGTTGTGACCCTTGAACCACCTCGGGGAGAGGGGTACAGGGGGAAACCACATATAACTTAGAGCAGGCCCTCCAAGTTCAGTTCTTCCACCTGTCACAGGTAGGATCCTGTATACTCTAGTATTTACTATTGAAAAAAATGTGTTAGTTGCTCAGTCGTGTCCGACTCTTTGCGATCCCACGAACAGTAGCTGCCAGGCCCCTATGTCCATAGGATTTCCCAAGCAAGAATACTGGAGCGGGTTGCCATGCCCTTCTCCAAGGGATCTTCCCAACCCAGGGATCCAGCACACATCTCCTGCATCCCAGGTGGGTTCTTTACCGCTGAGCCGCCAGGGAAGCCTACTATTGAAAAAAACCCACCGGAATATGGACCCATACAGTTCAATTTGCTGTCATTCACGGTCGACTATTCTGTCCACCACCTCTTCAGGAAGCTAAATGACCAGTGTGTACAGAGGAGAGCAGGTTTTAAATCTATTTCGAATTCTAGAGCACATAGCAAATAAAGACTGATGGAATGCAAGCTAAATTCACTACTGACATAAAGCCGTTTTAATACGGTTCTAGGAAGCAAGGTATTCCTCTCAGTTAAAATCAGAAAGACATTTGAGTCTACAAGTCAGTGGAACGTGATCCCATCAAAAGAGCAATTTAATTGTAGGGGAGCAAATTATTATGGTAAAAACCCATAGGTGTAACCCTGGAAGCACTATGTAATACATTTTGAATTTTTTTTCCTAAAGATAAGTAAGGTTCAACTGTCATTTAGAAGCATTAAAATGGCAACTCATCCTACAGTGGAAACTACAAAAGATTACACAACACTGAATTTCTTTGAGCTTAGAATCCTTTGTTAGTAATCCAATATTTAGTACTAGCTTCTGTTGTGATTGTAGGTTAGCTGAAACAAATTGACTCTGATTTTGAAAATAAAGTTTCAGTGTGAACTTTAGTAAAACTTCAGTTAAAAAAATACCTGAGACATAATGTTACTAGAAAATAAGATTTTCCCCCATTCAAAAAGCTTTGCAGACTTTTATTTGAGATTTATCTTTTGAAAAACCACAGTTCTTAACAGTAACATATCATATTGTTTATTTCCTAGTATTTCTCTCTTTTGATGAACATTTTCCCATTTAAGTTTCTCAAGACATTTAGGAAATTTAAAATTTCTCATCCTTGTCCTTTGTCTGTAGACACATGAGTAAATCAGATTTTGTGGGTATCAACCACTCCGTTCCTGACTCGCTTCTCACTGTGCCCAGCAGCAGAGCTGACAATGGGTTCCAAGTTCTCAGAGGTACTAATAGTAATTAGGGAAAATGCAAGCTTGGGGGTCAAAATGAGGTTACACAGACTGCGCACAGGGAAAGGACGTCAGAATTCTTCCTCAGCATTCAGGGTACGTGACTGCTTGAGATTCTTCAATTTATTAATGGCGGAAGTTACTGAGATCTCCCCATGAATTTTGTTGTCTCTTGTTCGGACATTTACAGCATTATTTGTTTCTTCCTTTTCTCCAACCACTGTAGAAAACAAAGGGAAATAAATCTATTTTAAATCAATGTTTTACTAAATATTAAGTCAGCAGTCACATGGCCTGTGTCCCATTGAGTTTCCTTCTTAGCACGAATCACCAAATACCAATCTAATGTCCATGGGTCATCCACTGAGAGTAAGTTTCTGGAGACAAGGAATGACTTCTAATCCCGCTGGTCTATTGTCCATTTTGGAGAACACCTGTGGTGTTTGTGGGGTACCAATAGGAGCAGATAGCTCCTACAGACTCCCCAACTCCACCTGGCACACTTGATGAATCAGGGTGGGCACCAGACACAGGTCAACCAGCTGACAGAATGTTCTAGAATATAAGTAAAAGGTCTGTTCTCACAACCCATACTGTGCGATGATGCAGAATTCTGCAGTCATGTGTCTTGCCACCTGGAAAGAAGACACTGGCCATCCAGGAGGGTGGAATAAAGTAGATCAAGGAAGCATAAAGAACCAGACCAAAAGGGAACAGAAATGGGGAGAAATGGTCCTGGTCAGGGTGGAGTTCCCTCCTGTCCCAGTTACTTCTCGAATTCTACCTTTGATGGCATGACACACTCTGACTCCTAATACATTTCATCATGTCTAAGCTAATGTGAAATCTCTGTCACCACAAGAAGTCTGACCAATACCCATTATAAACACTTTTGATGACAAACTGCCCACAGGACTGCCCCCTGCATATTTATTTTGCCTTCGACAGAAACTTTCAACTTAACAGGAAATAACAACATTGTGCCCACAGGCATGTCAATATCTGTCTCCCTTGGTTTTAAATTACTCTTACAGTCAAAATTTTAGATTCAACATCTAATTGCTCCTGTTCTTCAAGGACATTTTATTTTTTCACTTAATTCTTTTCTTTTGATCATCTTAAATTTGGAACTTTCCCTACTCATTACTTGAATCCTAAAGAGTTCTAATAAACCAGAAAAGCAAAGGATATTATTTCAGCCTGTCACGTGGCTGAAACATGAGGAGTATAATTCTACTGATAAGATCATTTATATAGTTTTTCCACTGTTGGTTTGAAATATCAGTTATTGCTAGTAATACTACACCACAGGATGCACATGAAATTTCCTAAGTCTTCTTCCAGAAAATTACAGAGTATCTAGCCAGGAACACCACAGGCTTTTCTTTGTGTTTAAGTATTCATAATCAAGCAGTTATACCATATTCTTTCTTTTTTGGTGACGGTTTTTTTGGGGGGAATTAAAGTGGAAAAAACAAGCATTTGGGAAAACATATATAAATTTAGATTACCAAAAATAAAATTATACTGAGCCAGTTGTGCATTTCGTATTTTGTTATTTAGTGTACAACCATGATCTAAGTCAACATCAGCCATGAATCCTTCCTCAAAGAAGTCACTGGATATCTACAAGACAATGAGACACTTTCATTAGTACTCTGTGTAGGGTAGGGTAGTATGGTAGCCAGCCTCCAAAATGAGCCCCAACATCCCCTCCACCCAGTATTCACACCCTGGTGTGTCTCTTCCACCTGGTCCCAGGTTGGTCCATTTGACCACAGTGAAGAGTGAGTGATGTCGCATAAGTTCTAAGATGAGCTTAAAGGGCTGAGACCACTTCCCTAGCTGGGACCTTTGAGTTCCCAAGGGCTGTAGCCTCACCAGGCGCCCGGGCCAGAGCCCACCAGCCATGATGGCTCAGATCCTGCCCCACAGAAACTGTGAGATAATACATGCCTGTTTCTTTGCTCTAAAGTGCCAAGTTACACAGCAACAGATAATATAAGTATTCTTCCCTAACAGAGCTGCAAGGAAAAGATTAACTATGAGATGTTTTAAAACACCAATTTCTCAAAAACAAGATATAAAGTATCTCTTATACAGCTACATAGACTTGTCTCAGGTGTTACTGAAAACATGGGATGGTAAATACATGTATTAGTTATGCAATGTTTTAAGGCATGAATAACATTTCAAGTCAATGACATTCACTGACCACATGCCAAGATTATGCACTTTAAACATCTCTGATGTTACCTGAAGTGCGTATTTTTCACAAGTTGGCCCCACAGGGATGACCATCACCTGACAAGGAGACAGCCAGAAAGGCCTGAAAAAGGTAAGTAATATATATGTTTCAAAATGACCATTTATTACAAGATTAAAAACTAACTGAAGACTTTTTTTTAAAGTAAGACTTCACATGAAAGCAGGTTCAGAAGAGAGAGGTGTAAGTCAAGCAAACTATATGGAAAAGCAGTTGAGGAGACAAAAGGGGAGACGGGGCCTTCTGATTGGAAGAGGAGGGGAAGACAGGCTGGCAGCCAGGTGAAAGACCTAAACATCACTAGTCATCTGACCCAGCAACTGCTCTCCTGAGCATCCACCCCAGGGAAGTGGAAACGTGTTTGCATGAACGTGTTTAGCCCCGCATGCTAAAATTT